CTGATGGTGAGGCCGGGCTGGGAGCCCCCCCCTGGCTCCTCCTGGGATCCCCATCCTTGGCACGGGGGTGGATTTGCGGGCAGGGAGGTCCTGGAGCCGCTGGTTGAAGCCCCTGATGTCTCCTGGTTCGGGCTCGGCCTCTGGCTTTTGGCTGGTTTATAAAAGTTCAGAGTGGGCTTTTTAAAGCGCCTCACTCGGTGTGGCCCAGCACAGGCTTTCATCCAGCACCTCTTTTAGCCTTTTTCAACTTCTTTTGCCAGTGAAAACGTTTTTTGAATACTCAAATATTTAAAATATTAGGGTTTTATTTCCCTTTCTGAGCTCTCCCCCCACTGAGACACGGGTGACAGTGACAATGTGGAACTTAGTGGAACTTGGGTGGTTATCTGGCTTTTCCCTCTTCCCACTCCCAGTTTTCCATCCTTTCCCTTTCCTTTAGCCTTTTTCACTTCTTTTGCCACTGAAAATGTTTTTTAAATACTCAAATCTTTAAAATATTATGGTTTTATTTCCCTTTCTGAGCTCTCCCCCCACCGAGACACGGGTGACAGTGACAATGCTGGGAGTTCCTGGTGGAACCTGGGTGGTTATCTGGCTTTTCCCCCTCCCCACTCCCAGTTTCCCATCCTTTCCCTGCAGAAGAGCAGCCCCGAGGAGCGGGAGAGGATGATCAAGCAGCTCAAGGAGGAGCTTCGGTTGGAGGAGGCAAAACTCGTCTTGTTGAAAAAGTTACGGCAAAGCCAAATCCAGAAGGAGACCACGGCCCAGAAGGTGGGATTTTCCTGCTTCTCCCACCTCTGGAAATGGAGGGGAGGGGGTTCAGTAACTGGGGCAGTTGCCATTCCCTGTGGAACATGGAACAAACACTCCAGTCCTTAATCATGGAATACTTCGGCTGGGAAGGGACCTTGGAGCTCTTCCCAAGCCCTGTCCAGCCTGGCCTTGGGCACTCCCAGGGATGGGATGTGTAGGGATTGCTGGGATGGCTCCAAGGAGATCCTTGGAGGTGACAGGGAATTCCAGAGTTTGAACCCCAGGCTGTGGGAGCTGGTGGCAGATCCCAGGTCTGGATCCCAGGTCTGGATCCCAGGTCTGGATCCCAGGTTTTGATCCCAGGTCTGGATCCCAGGTCTGGATCCCAGGTCTCCCCCAAGTGAGTCTGCTCTGAGCTGCACATCCCCCAGAGCAATCCAGGCAGGAAAGGCTCAGCCTTCCCACCCCAATTCCCTTTTCCCATCCTCCTCTTCCCTCTCCTCATCCCACACATCCCGGGGGGTTGGGGGAGCTCTTTGCAGCACAAACCATCCCGGGAAAAAAGGCTGTGGGGTTTGGAGTTGGTTTTTTTTTTGGCAGAGCTTTTTTTTTCCTGGGCTGCTCCCCGCTGGAGGTGGAGGTGGCAGGAGAGGAGCAGAGGAATTTGGGATGTGAGGGGGTGGGACCCCCCCACGCTGCTCCTGAGCCTGAATCCCAGTTCCTTGTAACAATGGCAACGACCCCGTTCCCTGGGGCTGCTGGAGGGGGGAATTTTGGGAGTGGGAGGGGGGTGTGGAGGCAGCTCCTGGCGCTGCTTTGGGTGGGTTATTGGCACCTTCTCCCGGAATTCCAAGTGCTTCAGGAGGTGGGATTAGAACCAGAGCTGAGGACCTGCAGCCCTGAACCCTGAGCCAGGAGCTGGGGGGAATTTGGGCCGAGCAGGAGGAGACAGATCCTGAACTTCTTCACTTCCAGAGGCTTCTTCCCGAGCTCGCTCCCGCTGTGCCGGGTGCTGGATCCCGGGGGGAGCGGGTGGGGAGGGCTGAGGTGGGCTCTGGGCTGGCCCAGCTGAGCCAGAGCTCCCCTTGCTGGAGAAACCCGTGATTTTCCTGCTCCAGCCTCATCCCTCCTTCCCTAATTCCCTGCAAACCCCCTGGAGGAGCAGGGGCTGTGGGAGGGGGGCACAGGCGGGGCCCTGGAGGATTCTCGTGCCGAGGCTCTTGGGGATGAACTCTCTCCCCCCCTTTCCCTGCTGTAATTCCTGCTTCCACCCTTATTCCTCTGCTTTTCTCTCTGGTTTTTCCTCTTCCAGCCCGCTGGTTCCTCTGGGAGTGCTGTCACCCCTCCGCCCTTGGTGCGGGGCCCACAGAGTGTTCCTGCTGGGAAACCCTCCCTCCAGGTCAGTGGGGCGGGAAGGCTCCCAGGAACGAGGGCCCCGGAGCACAGGGAGAGCTGCCCAGGGCAGGGAGAACATTCCCGGAATTCCCTGGAGCCAGGGGGGAATCCCCCTCTTTAAACTGCCCCACTCCCAGCTTTGTGGTGGGATGGGAGGTCTCACGTGGAAACCATTCCCATCGAGCTTCGTTTTCCAGCTGGTCATCCCAGTCCACTCTGCTGAGGATTCCTTGGGAGAAGGGATGCCATGGAATTCTGGGGCAGCCTCCAGAGGCTGAGCTGGAAGAGCTGAGGGAATCCCGGGATTCCCTCTTGGCTTCCTGGCTGGATGGCACACAGGGGCTGGAAGGATCCTGGCTCAGACCAGGAATTAAATGTTGGGAATCCTTGGGAAAGGGGGAAAAAAAAGTGGAATCACTTGGCATCTGTCCTTCGTCGTCCCCTGGAACCCAGTGACTCGTTTTGCTGCTGGATTTCAGGCGTTCCTGGGTGTTTGATTGGAACCAAATTCCCAAACTTCTTCAGCTCCAAGTGTTTTCCCGTGGGAAAAGGCAGCTCTTCACCTGGAGATCCCCTGGAATTCCAGACCCAGGGAAAGGGGGGGGTTTGCTCTCTGTGGAGGAGACATTCCCAAACCAGAGCAGTGTGCCAGCTGGAGGAATCCCTTCCCTGAGGCTGTTTCCTTGGATTCAGGCAGCACTTCCAGAGGAACTGGACCAGGAGTTAAACCTTCAGCCAGGGAAACTTGGACAGAGCAGAGACCTGGGAGCTAAAAATCCCAAAATTGAGCTTATTCTGCCTAATTTGGGGTGTTTGGGTGCATTAACCCCCCCTCTGCTTCTGCTGGAATGGAAAAGGTGCTGATTCCTGTGGGAAGGGGCTGAGGGAACATTTGGGCTTCAGTTGGAAAGGGATAAAACTTCCCAGCTGCTCAGGGAAGCAGGAGCTTCCCTGCTCTTTGTTCCCAGGGGATGCTCAGGTTGGGAAGGAGGGAAAGGAGGGGAGCAGCACCCGTGGGAAGCCCCAGGAATGGGGTGAGAGGAGTGTTGGAGCTCCTGGAGGGTGTTGGGTGTCCCCAGGAACATCCCTGGTGTGTCCCCACATCCCTGTCCCAGCACCAGGAGGAATTCTGAGGGTTGCAAAGCTCGGGCAGCACATTCCCAGAAACCCCTTTAGGCTGATTCCTTTTCCTTTCCGTGATTTTTTTTTCCCTAAAGCTTTCCCATTTTCCTGCCTTTTTTTCCTCCTTCCCAATCCACTCACTTCCTCCACCTTCTCCCTGTATCCAGCAGTCTGTATTCCCCATTTCCCCCCCTTTTCCCATCGTTGGGAGGGGTTTTATGGGGTTTTTTTGGACACTCAGTGTGCACCAAACCCAGCCTGGCCACCTCCTGCCCTCCAGCTTTTCCACTGCCTCCCTCCAGCCCAGGAGTGACTGTTCCCTCTTTTCCAGACCTCTTCCACACGGATACCAGGCACTGTGATCCCTCCTCCCTTGGTCAGGGGAGGGCAACAGGCGTCTTCCAAGCTGGGCACTCAGCAGAACACGCAGATCGTGATGCCCCCCCTGGTCCGAGGGGCCCAGGTGGGTGTTGCCCTTGATCCTTCACTCCCCAATCCAGGGGAACTCCCTTCCCCACCTTCCCAGCAGCTTCCCATCCCACCTTTTCGTCTCCTCGTCCGACTGGTTTTGCAGTGAGGGGATTAAGGAGGGGGAAAAAAAACCTCCTCATTTTGAGGAATAACTTCCCTGCTTAACGGCTTGGAAATGGAACAGGCTCCAAACTCCACCCTGGGGAAGGAGTTGGGCTGGGAAACCTGGGAATTTTGGGCCATAATGAGGTTGTGGAAGGAGTTTTGCTCGGAAACTCGGGAATTTTGGGCCATAATGAGGTAGTGGAAGGACTTTGACTTGGAAACTTGGGAATTTTGGGCCATAATGAGGTTATGGAAGGAGTTTTGCTCAGGAACTCAGGAATTTTGGGCCATAATGAGATTGTGGAAGGAGTTTGACTCAGAAACTCAGGAATTTTGGGCCATAATGAGGTTGTGGAAGGAGTTTTGCTCGGAAACTCGGGATTTTTTGGCCACAATGCCGTGGCCTCGTGTCCAAGCACCTCCTGCCACGTTTTCCAGGACGAAGGAGGGGAAAAAACCCCACATTCTGAGAAACAACTTCCCTGATTAACACCCTCAGAACTAAACAGGTGTAAAACTCCAGCCTGGGGAAGGAGTTTCACTTGGAAACTCG